CACGGCCTGCTCTGTTCTAGAGTGCACTGGTAAACCAGAGGCTCTCAGAGGAACTGGTAGCCAGTGTGAAAATGCAGGTCAGGAGCTAGAAGTAGCTGACCACAAAGCATACTTAAGGGCTGGATTTGCTTTTTAGTTAGATAAAGAAGGTTGTAAACTAGACTACCTTCTAGAAGAAGGGAAGAAGACCTGAGGATTGTGGAGCTGAAGGGATTGTTCTGTGTTCTGGCCCATTACCTCTCACAGTGGCTTGTCACGTATTCTCTTGTGGAGGATGTAAGGAGAGAGCAGAGTTCTCTGACTTTCTCACTTGGAGGCACAGTCAGCTACATGGGCACGGTTAAGTTAGTGTCCAGTGAATACAGAAATGCAAAGTGACCAATATACAGCGTTAAATCAGAATTACTCCTAAGTTGTTGCTTTTTAGTAAGATCTGGAAAATAAATCATTATTTTTTATTCAGTCATAAGGAAACTTCACAACAATTTATAAACTATCTCTGAGACGCCATAAGGAACAGGTATAAAGGGACTTTTTCTGAAGAGACAGTTTGAAAAGACTTCTACCCAAGGAGCAGGAGACGTTTAGAAACTTTCAGAAAAAGATGATACACCACACTAGAGAGTCTGGAAAGAGGAAGGCAAGTCCAGTCTTACCTGTGTCCACACAGCAGGCTACCACTGCAGCTGTAAGAAGCAGTTGAGAACTCCTGTCTGCCTGATGTATGGTAACTGGAGTGTTGTCTCATGTGGGCTTCCTATCTGTGGAGGAGCTTGGACCAACTATGTGAGTGATGAGTAGACAAAGGGTAGGTGAGTGATGGATAGACGGAGGGTGGACTAGAACTTAGAACTCCATATGGAAGGACTTTAGGAATTCCCCCATTTTGTCTCTTAATCCTAAAAGAGTAGGATCATGGAAGGGTCGCTCTCATAGTCCGTGGGTCTCTGCTTACGATAGTCAAAGCTTCAGGTTTCCTACCTACTCTGTGCTTTGAGTTAACTTGGCTCTAAGTTGCCCTGAGGGCTTCGTACTTCGTACCTGGTGGCTTCTGATCTGGTGACTCTGAGGTCAGTTCAAAGCATCTGCATTTCCAACGAGCTCCATGGTGAAGCTGCTGCTGGATCTGGGTCTGCACTTAGGAACCATTCACTAGGAGAGCCCACAAAGAAACAAACAGGACATCATCACTTCCCCGCCAGCTAAGGAGCCCACTTCTCCCTGGGGAGAGGAGAGACTGGAAAGGAGGAGTCCTCAGGTAGTGAGCTCTCTTGCCTCTGCCAGGGGAGGCAGACTGACTCCTCCAGCTGATACTCAGAAGCATTACTTTGCCTGAGCTGTGAGGAGACAACTGAAGGCATCATGGCAGGAAGTTAAACCCTAGGGAGGCTATTAACAATTTAGCATTTCCAGCTTGTGTGGGGATGTCCCTTCTCTTGCTTCTTGTCCCTGATTCTCCTTGCTTGGGAGAACATAAAGCGTGGTTTCAGTGGAAGCAGCAGCAGAGCCAGTTGAGTTCATAATCGGCCCTGCTTGACCCTCTTCCTGGAGAGGACATTCAGGCTGCCCGCATCCCCTTGTCTCTGTCAAGATGACCCTGACCCTGTGCTATTTCTTAAAATAAATTCCTGGCTAGGGGCAACACTTTGTTCCCCTTGAGCTGGTTTGTCTGCAGAGGAAGCAGAGGTGGAGGATGTGATAGGGGGTAGTCACAGGCTATTGCTGTAGAGCAGGTACTGTGTTCTAGTTCAGGACACTGGATGTCAGTGTCCTTAGGCCTTCTGAAAGCCTTGCCACATAGCTAGGCTGACCTGTACCAGTAGAAGTTGGTAACTCTGCCCAGTGAGTTAGAAGAATGAGAACTTGCTTTTCTTTTTGAAAATTAGTATTGTGTATTTTTGGTATGGGTAAGGGGGCTGCACATGTGTCATGACATATGGCGATCTGAGGACAACTTGTGGGAGTCAGTTCTTGGATTGAACTCAGGTTCTCAGGCAACAAGCACATTTACACTATCTCTCCTGCCCAAGAGAGCCTTCTTTATTAGCACTTCCTAGCAAGTGAAGACCACAGCAGAGGGAGCAGAGAAGGGGGAACACACACTAAAATCTGGGGACTAAATCAGGTCTTTACTGTGTTATGATTATGCACACGGCCATGGGCAGGACTTTCAAGCCCCCAGTCTCCCATTTGTAAAATGAAGAGACAGATGGGTGAGCACCGAGGTTTCATATGATGCCAAGAACAAAACTCCAAACAAACCACAAAGGTATCCACTCACATGCTTTGGTCACTGAGACCTCACTGGTCCCTGCTGCTCTGTGATGACCTTGTTTCTTGCTAATAGGTTAGCAGGCATCTAGCAATGCACCTGCACTGTCAAGCTGGAATTTGGCTGACAGCTCTCCCATTCCCTGTTGGAAGTACTGGAGTAGGGTCTCCTCCCAAAGTGGCAGGGGTTCAAGGACCTTGTTGCTTTAGTGCTGGGGTCATGGAAATACCTCAGATGTATGGTTTTCTGAGAAAAGAATTTCATGCTCTGCCACAGAAAAGCTCGTTGAGGCAAAGACAGGTGCAAGAGTGGATTCTCAGGTTTCTCCTTGAAAACTTCAAGAACTTAGCTGACAGTTTTTTTAAACCCCTATTCCCAATTTAGCACAAACAACAAAAGGTACACATATTTGTTTCTTGAACCAAGTCTCCCACAGTTACAGGCTCCTTTTTGTGGTTTTATTTTGAGCTTTGGTCCAAGAGGAGACAGTGTCTTCATAGATGGTCTAAGGCACAGGTTCTCAACCTTCCGAATGATGTGACCCCTTATTTCCTCATGTTGTGGTGACCCAAAGCTTAAGTTATTTTGTTACATCATAACTGTAATTTTGCTACTGATACGAATTGCAGTGTAAGATTTTGATATGCAGAATATCTGGCATGCGATCCCTGTGAAAGGGTAGTTCAACCTCCCATCCAAGGGGTCTCGCCTGTAGGTTGAGAACCACTGGTCTAAGGCTTGGTGTGCCTCTATTACAGCCCGGCAATAGCAGGTTCCTTCTGCAGGCCATTGTTATCCATCAGGTCCTCATATAAGGGAATCTGGTCCCACAGTCTCGACTCAAACTCAGTAACATGTGTATAAAGTGACAACAATGAAATTCTTAAACTTTCTCCACTTGTGATTGCTTTTCACCTAAGTTTTCAAATGAGTCTGTGTGCACTTTCATAAAAGAAATATAGAAATCAAACATTTACTTAAGATACGTTACAAGAAAATTTATTTTTAAACAATTATTTGGTATGCATATAATCGTTAACATTTATTAAAGACTAAAGCAAATTTGCATACTAATGAGATGGATGAGTGTATTTATTTTTACATAAGTAGCAATCTTGGCTTACTATTTGGTAGTACAGGATGGAGAGCATCTCTGTTTTTCAGAGTTCACTGATATTTTGGTTTTATAATCACTTACTGAGAACCCACTTCTCATAAATATATAGTTCAGAGTGGCAGGAGTGTGTGTAAGACTGTTTCAGAAGTTGTTGGAAGTTCCATCCTAATTCAAAGACAAAATTAGTGTTTTTTTCTCCTGAAACTCAAAAGTTAGTGATTCAAGTAATGTTTAAAATAAAATATTCTACGTACTACCATATAATCCAAAGGCAGGCTAATTTGCCATGCTGAAGAAGGGCAGTTGGAAAGTACTAGGTCTTAGTTCCCTGTGACTAAACCATTATGTTTCCAGAAGAGCAGACAACCCTGTATGTGCAGCTGAGAGCACGCAGTGATCTGGAGGCTGGGTCAGGCAGGCGGTGCTCCTGGTACTGTGATGCCTGAATGGTGGGCACAGAGTGACATGCACATAGTGTGTTTTGGAGCCAAGGCTGCAGCAACATGCAACACTGGGCAACCTCCAACAACTGAGACAGCCTTAGACACACTTGTGCCACTCTGAACTACGTATTTATGAGATGTAGGATCTCAGTGTTAGTTATTTGTTCTGAAGTGGGGTTGTGACACACACAGTGTAGGAAACTTGTGTCCTGGCGATGCTTTCCAGTGCTGTCACTGCTCACTCACCATCAAATTCAGCTTTTCTGAACTCCAACACATGACCTTCACCTGTCTTCCTCCATCGTGAGGTCATCCTCTCCAGGGACATTTAGTTGGGGTGTGTTTGGGAAGATGGGCACTGAGGATGTGATTCCCAGGGCTGAAGGTGCTTATATGGCTCTGTGATGCACACTCAGTGGTGAGAACTCGCCTTGCCTCAGGGTGTGCAGTGCTGCTGCTACTGGATACTGCTTTTTGTTTTTGTTTTGGTGGGGGGGATGCCACTTTGTCGAATTATCTGTTACCCTGAAGGGATATAAGGGTCTTGTGTAGAGTCATTTAAATGTTGAAAGTCTAACCTTCGTTCCTTGCTTTGTATTGTGGAAAGGCATACCTCCATGTGGTGTGCACTGACAGGACTATAGTGTACGGCCTGCCGAGTCCTGAGATACCTGTGGTTTGAGGAAGCTAAAGAGAGCTATTCCCTGGAAAAGAGAGTGGGTCACAAGCCTCCCCGTTTCCTTTTAGCCGATTGTTTGCATGGGGTTTGTCTAAAGTTGGTGGGTGCATGTAAACCAGCCTTGCAGATAAATTCCGGCTTTTTTCCAGGCCTACCCATGTTATTACCAATTTTCTCTTTGCTATTTATATATATCTTGTAACAATCAACTAACAACAAATAAGCAAAGGGACCCAAGAACCAGCCCCGGCTTCATACTTCAAACCAATCCCCCTCCTTGTTGTCCAAAAAGACCAAAATTAAAAACAAAACAAAACCGGTGGGGAACAGCTCTCCACTGCTGTTTGTTTGGGGCCCTGGGCCTGGTGCTATCTGCAAGGCTGCTGTAATGATGTTAATCTATTTTAATGGAAGGGAAATGTGATATCCTGTGGTTTACGATGCTCATTGTTTATGGCAGTGGTGCTTGATTCTGGGTTTCTTTCACAGATAAACTTCTGCACTGGAGGGGCCTGTCTTCCCCTCGATCTGCACACGGAGCTCTAATCCCCACGCCCGGGATGAGTGCAGAGTATGCCCCGCAGGGTATTTGTAAGTTGAACATTATCTCTTCTACAAATGTCCATGTGTATATTAGCCTTACTTTTTAAGCACTGAAGGGAGTTTCTTCTAACGCAGACTGGCACCTGCATGTGTATTAATCCATTTCTCACTTGACACCAGCTCCCCTCCCACCCATAGCCCAGAGAGTGAGACAGTGACTTTCTCTCCCCTTTGTTTTTTTTCCCCCTGCTCTTACCTGGCACCATGGCTGGTGGCTAAACCATCTCTGTGTCCACAGCCAATCTTATTGCTGGACACTCACTCCTACAGCCTTGTAGATGCTTTGACTTGTTTGGCATGCATCCTTGGGAGAGACCAGAATCACAGGCGATTTACAGTCACTCCGGAGGTATTACAATGCATGTTACTTATGCATTCACGTGTGTATCTGAATGTGGTATATTTACAGATACACGTGATATATATGTACATATATACACGCATAAAGATGCACATCGCATAGATTCTCTGTTTTTTCTCCTTATTTTAGAGGAAGATGTATGTGCAGAGATGTAGGTAAAATGTGAAGAGCCCACTGCCACCTTCTCACATGCATGTCTCCACCACCACTAACTTTTGCAGAAGGGATCTCTATAAAATTCAGATTTTTTTAATTTATAAACATGTTTTCTGAAAGACGTCTGAGAAACCAAGTTGGCTTTCTTCTCTGTGTAAAAGTGTGTGGTGTGAATCACGCACGGCCAAAGTGTTTGAAGGAGGAGTTCACTCCACCCCAAACACACGTGCGCACGAGTGAGCGCACACACACACACACACACACACACTCAGGCTCAGGAGAAAAGGGACACATAATATGGCAGCTAATGTTTATTTTCAAGAAAACAAAGAGCATAACAGGGTGTGGGGTGCAAAAGCTAAGGTTTACCAAGGAGGCTTCCTCTCAGGGGCAGGTCACTAGCCTCAGTCATCTTGGGAATGGTGTCTGCAAGGCAGGCCACGCACCTTGAGAGCAGATTCAAAGCCTCCTAGGTAATCCCAGGTAACAGGGACATTTTATAGGATTTCACAAGCCCTGGGGTCCCTAGGGCTGGGTGGTAGGGGTGGATGCTAAAGTGCCTCATCTTCTCTCCCATCCCCAAGCTGGGCCTGAGCCTAGCTTAGGTCACAGAACACAGAAAGTTTAGGTGTTGGTGTCACAGATTTGAGTCCCTGCAGGACAGCTGGGTGGAGTGCAGTTTTCCTTTGCTAAGGTTGCCTGGCGTCTGTACTTGGCTGAGAAGGGAGACTGAGGGAGACAGCGGAGGGCAGAGTTGAGAAGCCAACGGCTGCTGGCCAAGGACCTCCAGTTGATGGTTAGGAAGGCCGGAGGTCCTGCCCCCTCCACGATACTCTAAGAGTGTGCACTTACCAGTACAGGAGTAATCAGAAGAAGGCATGTGGCAATGGGCTTCGGGCTCCACATAGCCTTAGGACAAAGCTAGTGGCCATTCTCATCAGCTACGTGGACCAGCTGTCCCTTGGCTTTCAGAGCCCTTGGCCTTGTGGCCTCCTTGGCCGTGAAAGTGTAAAAGTGACTTAATTCACCCACTTGTCTCTGTTGCCAAAGCCTGCATTGAGGCTGCCATGGACCTTCCTTTCCAAGCCGTGCTGGGATTGTTATCTGGTTAGGTACACACATACATACATACGCACGCACGCACACACACGCACTCTGCATGTACACACACCTTTCTTTAAAGGTCCTTATTTTAATGCTTGTTTCACATATAGGAATGCCAAGGGACATTTCAGTTGTGCACCAAGTCACAAGCTAGTAAATGACATTCAGGGACCCTGTCACAGACCCCCTTGTTATTCAGAACTGTGAGGGCTCAGTCACATGACTCTCACATTGACGACACATGACACATTTAGAAATGGAGAGCGCTCCTTCTCATAAAATGAAATAAACTGAAAGTCAGTAAGTGGGTGGGCTAACAGCTGGGCTTAACCCTTTCCGTGCCCTGAGTTCTTGTTCTGGGGAGGGGCAGGGCTCAGTTTATTGCTTTAAATCAAAACAATCCTGGTAAATGCCCAAATGAAGCTCTCAAAGTGAGAAGTTGATTTTCATCAGAGTAAATGAAGAATATTATTATATTTTACACATCAATAAATCAATGTAGCCCTAATTTTGCCATGCAGGAAATCAATTCTGGTCTTTCTAAACCATCAAAGATGTTATGAACAAAGTAATTTCACAAATTACAGCGAGTAACACATTTATTGATGACTGCAGTTTAGGAACTTAGACTCTGTGAGCACTGTGATATAATGTGGTGCACCAGCATGAGCAGAGGGAAATGCAGATTGCGTGGTGAAATGGCAGTGCATCGTTTGCTATTAGTGGACTGGTAATAATTACCAGCTTCCGAGCGGCTCTTTCCGTGTAATCTTCAGTCATTGACATCGTGATTACAGTAGGTGCCCTTGTGGTCTAGAATATCTAGTTGATGGGAGCCTGGAAAGGCGACAGTGAAGGTTGTGTGTGTGTGCTCATTATAAGTTCAAAAGCTGTTTCCTCTGGCCCCACGTGTGAGGGGAAAGACAGCACCGTAGTGTTAACCTTCTGTAGCGAAACCACCCAACTGGCTCTGGAAAAAATGGACTTTCCTTAAGCCTCATGGAAAGCTATCAGATGAGACTCTCCACGTGCTTAGTATGCCCAGAATTTGGCACTTATCAGGGGCTTCATCTTGGCACATTTGAAACCATCATTGCTAATTATGGGCCCATTCCCAGGCTTTAAGAGATTATAAGGGTCAAATATGATCTTCAGGCATTTAGAGTGAGGAAAGTATTAAGGGTTTGCTTCAGCTGAGTGAAGCTCCTTTCTTTCTTAGTTACAGGCCTCTGATTGTTAGGCTAAATATATGATAGTGACCCAGAGTCCTTGGGAGGCAGAGGAAAGCCACGGAGGGTCACAGTGGTTGGAACCAGATTTTTTTCCTGACTATTTAGAGCCCAAGTCATTGTTCAACAACAACAAAAAAATTATGAAAATACTCTCATTGAAGCTTTTTATTTCTTTTTGAAGAAAAGAGGCAGATAATGTGATTCTAATGTCAGCATTTTCTTTCAAAATCTGTGCCTTTCTTCCTCCCTCCACATTAGACAAATGTTTGAAACCTAATTTTGGTATCTTCCCATCTAATCTTGTTAAGGAGATTTCCCCAGGAGTGGGCTATATTGAGTGAGACTATAAATGCATTGTAAAGTAAATTACAAGGTCGGGGCAGGAGTCCATTGTTTAGACAAGCGCTTGAGTGAGGCTGCCTTGTTTTGGAATATGAGTGTTTGGGGCTCCTGAGAAGACCTTGGCAGCTTTTCTTTCTGACTTGCTAAATGGAGGAATCATATAATTGATGAATTCCTCGTGCCCACTCCTTAGCTCCCTGGTGAATTTGGTCCCATTGAAAAAGTTACTTAGGAATGCTAGCCATGGGCTTCAGGGAGTCTTTTAGCCTTACATAGGGACAGAGAGTATTTCTCAGTTATATTTAAAGTGCTGGCCTTTTTTTTTTTAAAAAGTCCCTGGGCCATTAACTAGTCTCACCCTTGTCCCTAGGCCACTGTCTCTTTTGTGTTCTTAAATGCTGCAGTTGGCTGGTAAACTGTTGGTTGGTTGCTTCATAAACCCCATAGATATGTACACATATATAAACCTATATGGGACTATATATTTAAATTTAGCTATCAGAAAAAAAAATGAATGATTTTTGTGAAGTCAAGCTGGCCACCTCTTTGCCAAAGTGGCATTTACCACTCTCGGGTTCTTTTCAGTAAGAGAGAAACAATGTGACTTGAGCAGGCCCCTCTCCAGACAGCTTGGCCACTGGCCAACGAGTTGACTAGCTCAACTGTATCTTTCTGTTTCTTTCTCAACTGGAGCTGAGTCTCAGCCGAGGGCGCAGGATGTTGTATAATTTGGTTCACGTTGTTAGCCTCTCAAAATAATGAGGCGGCGGCTAGGGTAGCATTGCTCAGCCTGCCGCCTGTCATGGTGCTGGCTGCCGCCACTGCTCCTACAACCAGTATGCTGGGTCTGCTGAAGCTGGCACCAGCCACTCCTAACTTTCTACTCTCTCTTTTGTTGAACTGGGGTGAACGCCTAAGTTAAATCAGAATTACATTTTTCTTTTGAGATTTTAATCACAACACCTCCTTGAGATTAAACATGGGGTTATAGGATGTTAAGGACCCCTAACACAGACTTGGGATAAGAGAACATTGCCACTCTCTTTTGCAAAACCAACAGTTGGTGTGTTTTCAGTTGAACCGTGTAGGGCCAGGGAACTGTATTGATTTTTGACCTTGTCTTTTTGATATCTCTATGCAGTGATATTGCCTTGTTAGAAAGTTAAGCTCTCCTATGGCCCACGGAAAATGGACTAGGACTGGAGGAGTCAGGGTGTAGATGTTTCCCTGAGTGACATCACACTAATTCTGGCCTTGATCTGGTCCTGTCTCAGTATGCCATTTAACCAATGAGACAGTGGTGCATAGCTACAGTGACTTGCCCACAGCACAGCAAATGGAAGGCATTTGCTGAGACCCATAGAATGGAGAGCTCCTTTTACCAAAGCCTGAGCCAGTTAGGACTTTGTGCTATTTGGCTTGAATCTGGAACTGAGTTAAATGTCAGGAAGACCAATTTGACAAATATTTACTGGGATCCAGACTTGGAAGACAACATATAGGCACCAGGGTAGGTGGGTGAAGGCTGAGGCTTGAGGGATGGGGCCAGGAAAGGCTGGTTGTTGGAACATGAATAAGCAATTGCTGATGCCTGCCTCAGTGATTAAACATTGATGTTGGTGTTGTATTATTTTTCAGGTAAAGATGAGCCCAGCAGCTACACATGTACAACTTGCAAACAGCCATTCACCAGTGCATGGTTTCTCTTGCAACACGCACAGAACACTCATGGATTAAGAATCTACTTAGAAAGCGAACACGGAAGTCCCCTGACCCCGCGGGTTGGTATCCCTTCAGGACTAGGTGCAGAATGTCCTTCCCAGCCACCTCTCCATGGGATTCATATTGCAGACAATAACCCCTTTAACCTGCTAAGAATACCAGGATCAGTATCGAGAGAGGCTTCCGGCCTGGCAGAAGGGCGCTTTCCACCCACTCCCCCCCTGTTTAGTCCACCACCGAGACATCACTTGGACCCCCACCGCATAGAGCGCCTGGGGGCAGAAGAGATGGCCCTGGCCACCCATCACCCGAGTGCCTTTGACAGGGTGCTGCGGTTGAATCCAATGGCTATGGAGCCTCCCGCCATGGATTTCTCTAGGAGACTTAGAGAGCTGGCAGGGAACACGTCTAGTCCACCGCTGTCCCCAGGCCGGCCCAGCCCTATGCAAAGGTTACTGCAACCATTCCAGCCAGGTAGCAAGCCACCCTTCCTGGCGACGCCCCCACTCCCTCCTCTGCAATCCGCCCCTCCTCCCTCCCAGCCCCCGGTCAAGTCCAAGTCATGCGAGTTCTGCGGCAAGACGTTCAAATTTCAGAGCAACTTGGTGGTACACCGGCGCAGCCATACTGGCGAGAAGCCCTACAAGTGCAACCTGTGCGACCATGCATGCACACAGGCCAGCAAGCTGAAGCGCCACATGAAGACACACATGCACAAGTCGTCCCCCATGACAGTCAAGTCCGACGACGGCCTCTCCACAGCCAGCTCCCCGGAACCCGGCACCAGCGACCTGGTGGGCAGCGCCAGCAGTGCGCTCAAGTCAGTGGTGGCCAAGTTCAAGAGTGAGAATGACCCCAACTTGATCCCAGAGAACGGGGATGAGGAGGAAGAGGAGGACGACGAGGAAGAAGAAGAAGAGGAGGAAGAGGAGGAGGAGGAGCTGACGGAGAGCGAGAGGGTGGACTACGGCTTCGGGCTGAGCCTGGAGGCTGCGCGCCACCATGAGAACAGCTCTCGGGGCGCAGTGGTGGGCGTGGGCGACGAGGGCCGCGCCCTACCCGATGTCATGCAGGGCATGGTGCTTAGCTCCATGCAGCACTTCAGCGAGGCCTTCCACCAGGTCCTGGGCGAGAAGCATAAGCGCAGCCACCTGGCTGAGGCCGAGGGCCATAGGGACACTTGCGACGAAGACTCGGTGGCCGGCGAGTCGGACCGCATAGACGATGGCACTGTTAATGGTCGTGGCTGCTCTCCTGGCGAATCGGCTTCGGGGGGTCTGTCCAAAAAGCTGCTGCTGGGTAGCCCCAGCTCGCTGAGCCCCTTCTCCAAGCGCATCAAGCTGGAGAAGGAGTTTGACCTGCCCCCGGCCGCGATGCCTAACACGGAGAACGTGTACTCGCAGTGGCTCGCTGGCTATGCGGCCTCCAGGCAGCTCAAAGATCCCTTCCTTACCTTCGGAGACTCCAGACAATCGCCTTTTGCCTCCTCGTCAGAGCACTCCTCGGAGAACGGGAGCTTGCGCTTCTCCACACCGCCCGGGGAGCTGGACGGAGGGATCTCGGGGCGCAGCGGCACGGGAAGTGGAGGGAGCACGCCCCATATTAGTGGTCCGGGCCCGGGCAGGCCCAGCTCAAAAGAGGGCAGACGCAGCGACACTTGTGAGTACTGTGGGAAAGTCTTCAAGAACTGTAGCAATCTCACTGTCCACAGGAGAAGCCACACGGGCGAAAGGCCTTATAAATGCGAGCTGTGCAACTATGCCTGTGCCCAGAGTAGCAAGCTCACCAGGCACATGAAAACGCATGGCCAGGTGGGGAAGGACGTTTACAAATGTGAAATTTGTAAGATGCCTTTTAGCGTGTACAGTACCCTGGAGAAACACATGAAAAAATGGCACAGTGATCGAGTGTTGAATAATGATATAAAAACTGAATAGAGGTATATTAATACCCCTCCCTCACTCCCACCTGATGACCCTCTTTTCACCCCTTCCCCATTGTCCTTCCAGCCCTACTCCCTGTAGGATTTTTTCTAGTCCCATGTGATCAAACAAACAAACAAACAACAGAAGTAATGGAAGCTAAGAATATGAATGAGTGCTTGTCACCAGCACACCTGGTTTTTTGTTTTTTGCTTTGTTTTGTTTTTTTTCCTTTTCTTCTTTTTCTTCTTTTTTTAATTTTAATTTTTTTATGTTTTCACCGTTTGAATGCATGTTTGGGGCAATACTATTGCATTTTACGCAAACTTTGAGCCTTTCTCTTGTGCAATAATTTACATGTTGTGTATGTTGTTTCTTTTCCCCTTAACGTAGACAGCATGTATGGTATGTTATGGCTATTTTAAATTGTCCCTAATTCATTATGAGCAAACATGTTGCTGTTTCCAGTTCCGTTCTGAGAGTGTGAGAGAGGGAGGGTAAAAACCAAACCATGCTGCATACTTCTGTAATACATATCATGTACAGCTTTATTTTATAACATGAGGAGGGAAACAGTTTGGGTTAACTAACCCTCTACAGACAGAACAAATAGCACTGGAAAAAAAACCGTGCTAAATGTCTGTCTCTAAAGGGTTACATGTATTAATTGGAGAGGGAATAAGGCCTTGAACTGACAAATTAACAGAAGAACAAGTTGATTCTATCATTTGGCTTTTAAAATGAGTGCCTTGGATCTATTCAAACCATGATGATGGTTTTTCCTGCTTGTTATAAACTTGTAGCTTAATCCAGCATTGGGTGAGGTAATAAACTTTAGGACCTAGCATGTAATTCTGTGTTGTATTTCTCACAACAATGGCTACCTAAAAATATGACCCATTATGTCCTAGCTAATCATCGATTTTTGCCTTTAACTTTGTGAACAAAACCTGATTATTTATACTAGTATAAAAGCTACTTTGCTCCTGATGAAAGCGTAAAAGAAATGGGCTGCTTTGCCTAAAGTTTCATTTTATTTTTTTTAAATGGTTATCAAATTGAATGTGAAACGTGCAAAGGCCCTGGAATGTGGTGAAATACATTAGCAAGGAGTTCATCTTATGACAACTCTTTTTAAAATAATACATTTAATGAAATTCTGGCGCCAAAAGAAGTAGATCCAGCTCCAGTTGGTTGTCAAATGGACAATCAAATGATAAACTTAGCCCGTTAGAGGACATTTGAAACAGGCTGATATGGTGAGAGAGGGAGAGAGAGAGAGAGAGAGAGAGAGAGAGAGAGAGAGAGAAAGAAAGAAACAGAAAACAGTAAGTGATTGGTTAGCACAATGTGGTACTGTTTGCCATTTGAAACTAGAACAGGAGTACAAGCAACTAGTGATACGATGATGATTAACTATGAACCTCTAAGACTTACATTTAATGTGACCGTCTTCAAAAAGAAGAGGAAGACCTTTAAAAGCAGCAGTATCTATGTCTGTGCACCCTGGAAGTTGTATCATTTCTTTTCCATACACTGTGTGCTATTTGTGTTAACATGGAAGAGGATTCGTTGTTTTTATTTTATTTTATTCTTTCTTTTTTTCTTTTTAAATTCCTTCTTTGTTTTAAGCTAGCATCTGCCCCAGTTGGTGTTCAAATAGCACTTGACTCTGCCTGTGATACCTGTATCTTTTCTCTAATCAGAGATACAGAGGTTGAGTATAAAATAAACCTGCTCAGATAGGACAATTCAGTGCACTGTACAGTTTTCCCAGTTTACAGGTCTTTATTAAGGGAAACGTTGCAAGAATGCTGAAAAAAATTGAACACAATCTCAATGATGAGCATTAAAAAATAATAAAAAAAAATCTAAAAAAAAAAAAAAAACTAAGACAAACGTTGCCAGCCATTTACTTGACTAATGAGCTTACTCACTTGGACGCAACATTGCAAGCGCTGTGAATGGAACAACACACTTAACATAGAAACGAATGACTTTCGCTTCTACAGTGCAAGGATTTTTGTACAAAACTTTTTTAAGTATAAATGTTAAGAAAAGAATTTTTAAAAAGACACTTCATTATGTTTAGGGGGGAACAGCATTTTAGGGTTCCATTGTCTTGGTGGTGTTACAAGACCTGTTATCCATTTAAAAATGGTAGTGGAAATTTTATGCCTTGGATCACACACCGCTCTTCAGGTTGTAAAAAAAAAATACATGGGGAAAGGTTTAAGATTATATAGTACTTAAATATAGGAAAATGCACACTCATGTTGGTTCCTATGCTAAAACACATTTATGGTCTTTTTTCTGTATTTCTAGAATGGTATTTGAATTAAATGTTCATCTAGTGTTAGGCACTATAGTATTTATATTGAAGCTTGTATTTTTAACTGTTGCTTGTTCACTCAAAAGGTATCAATGTACCTTTTTGTTAGTAGAAAAAAAAGACAGGCTGCCACAGTATATTTTTTTAATTTGGCAGGATAATATAGTGAAAATTATTTGTATGCTGAGAGAGAGAGAGAGAGAGAGAGAGAGAGAGAGAGAGAGAGAGAGAGAGAGAGAGGTGACATTGTACAGAGAAGCCATATAATGGCGGTTTGGGGAGCCTGCTAGAATGTCACATGGATGGCTGTCATAGGGGTTGTACATATCCTTTTTTTCCCTTTTCCTGCTGCCATGCTGTATGCAGTACTGCAAGCTAATAGCGTTGGTTTGTTATGTAGTGTGCTTTTGGCCCTCCTTCCCGATCACCCGACATTCCAGCATCTTACCTTCATATGCAGTAAAAGAAAGAAAAAAAAAAAGGAAAAAAAACAACAACAATGTTTTGCAGTTTTTTTCATTGCCAAAATCTAAATGGTGCTTTATATTTAGATTGGAAAGAATTTCATATGCAAAGCATATTAAAGAGAAAGCCCGCTTTAGTCAATACTTTTTTGTAAATGGCAATGCAGAATATTTTGTTATTGGCCTTTTCTATTCCTGTAATGAAAGCTGTTTGTCGTAACTTGAAATTTTATCTTTTACTATGGGAGTCACTATTTATTATTGCTTATACGCCCTGTTCAAAACAGAGGCACTTAATTTGATCTTTTATTTTTCTCTGTTTTTATTATTTTTTTTATTTGGATGACCAAAGGTCATTGCAACCTGGCTTTTTACTGTATTTGTTTCTGGTCTTTGTTAAGTTCTATTGGAAAAACCACTGTCTGTGTTTTTTTGGCAGTTGTCTGCATTAACCTGTTCATACACCCATTTTGTCCCTTTATTGAAAAAAAATAAAAAAATTAAAGTACAATGTAAGCTTCTTGTGTCCTCATTTGACACACTCTGTAAATTACTTTCAACAAAATAACAGGTTTTGAGAGAAGGCCAGTCAGTCTTTTTCAGGGTCATCTCTATGGGCATTTTGATGTGTGTATTATACCCTAAAGGAGCATAATATTCTTACTATTATTAAATAGACATACCTCAAGCCATGGAAGTAGTTTTAGGCATTTACAGTTTTAGATCAGTTGGAAGGAAATTCCTGTGCACTGTTCAAACCTTCTGCTCCGTCTTTAGCGGGATCCACTAGGTATCTGTGAGTGAGTCCAGGAGCTGCCCCTCAGTTGTCTCCTTTGGAATTTCTGCTGTGCCTGTTGTGTCTAAAAGTCCTTTCTGTTCTTCCATTATTTCCCTGTTTTAGAGTGTGATGCTAAAAAAGAGGGTCCTTAAACAAATAGCTCCCTATTCTGCATAATGACCTTTCCTCATAATAAAAATCACCTTTCCCCTCCACCCTAAACATCCAGGAACAAAGGCAGCAAATATATTAAATCCGTAAAATAATAATAATAAAATGAGGGGAGGAAAATTATAGGAAGAATAAAACAGAAACCAGAAGCCAAGGGTGAGTCAGAGAGAGCTAGGTCTTGGGAGGCCACTGCTGTGCACCTAAGATGCACCATGATTTGCCTTGTGGTTCTGAAATCCTATAGTCTTTACATGCTGCAGATTGTTTTAGGCATATGCATATATATATATATCCCGCTGGTGGCAAATGAGGGTAGATAGATAACCCTTTAATTAATTATCTTTTCATATTTTGCAATGGCTTGAAAGACAGGTTAGGTCTGTTTTGAAAGCCCGCTCCTTAGAACTCTGTGTTGTTGGTTTTCCAACTACTGCATGCTGCAGCATCAGTTTGCTTTATTATATATACAGCCCGTGCCTCTGTGGTGCTGTCTCCCTGTTCCCAGTGTAGGTGAATGGTCCAACAGTAATCTTTTTTTTTTTTTTATTATTTTTGTAAAACTCCAAACAAAAGCTGTTCTGTTGTCCTCCCGTGGTAGCGTTTTTGTTGTGTGGTTCTTTCCCAGTGGTGACTATGAAGTGGCCTTTCCGTGTAATGCCTTTTATCCCAGGCCAGGAGACTTTTATCTTTTTAAGTAGTGATAAAGTAAGGTGTTTGGCTCTTATTTTTATTTTTAAGTCAGTTTGAGTGGGAAAGGGGACCTCACCAAGGGGAGTTGGAAGAATTTATTGCACAGGTGGTGAGATGGGATGGGATGGGAATCAGGCACCTTTGGAGAAGTTGGTATTTGTCAGTGAACTGAGGAAAGATACCTGTGTTTTCAGCTGGGTATTAAACTGATTCCAAAACAAATAAAAATATTTCCTTGTGCCTTGTCACCTGTAGATGACAAGATGGTGATGACGATGCCTCACCATATTTAATACCCACACAGCTTCTGCATGTCCCCATTGTGCTTTCGAGGGGAGCTCAGAGTGCAGCTGTGCAGATTTTATATACAGTACTTATTTTAATTCCTCAGTATATGATGCTCTTAGCGTAATTAGATTTTGCATCCTGACAGACAGAATTAATGGTGAATACGATATTCTTATAGGTTGAGATATCTTAAATCAAATTGGGAACAGGGAGGGGCACAAATATCTGGTGATAAATCACAGATTATGTTTGATTTACATGGTCCCAAAGTTAAATAAATTTGTTGGGAGACAGCTTCCTCAGGCTTCATCGTCTTCTGACTTATTGCAACCTTCTGATAAAATATTTCCAAAGCTCAGGAAGCAATGGGGGCATGGAACTTTAGACACCAAGAATAGAACTTCCACGTGACATTTCCTATTCTGAACCCAAACCCTTTCAATTGTATAGGAAGGAATCTAAAAATACAAGTTTCCCACCGTTGCATACATTGCTATCACCGAGAATTCTCAGTTAAGGTTTGTAAGTCTTGGCATACCGGTAGAATGTTTGTGAACCCCTGGTGCCTAGTATGCTCCAAAGGGAGTTTTGTTTTTGAAAAGCTCTCTATTTGAGAAAAAAAAAAACTTTACAAGCAGGAACACAGCAAATGCTATTATTGCACATTTTAATCTCTAAATGCTCCAGTGTGAGTGGGCCCTTCCTGAGACCATTTTTTCTCCCTGCTTGTAGGATCTTCAGGAAGTCTGAATCCAACATGTTTTAAAGGTTGCTAAGATGTGGGGTGAACATGGTACTCCTAGTGTACCAGCCGTAGCAGAAGTGTGAAGTAGTTGATTTCTTTCCCTTGGGGTGTTCTGTGGATAAAACTGTTTATTTAAATACCATTTTTGTATATGCAATAAGTCCATATTGTATATATCCATAATGGTTAAAGTGAGAACTCAGAAAGAAGTGGTGTCGGGAAGGGCGAACTAGATGCCATTTCCTCTGCAAAAATAAGGAGACAAGGCTGCTTATCCAGACACTAGGAGCTGGGCTGAAAGGCACCAGGATTATTTGGGACCATCCTGAAAAGAAATCGAGAAGCCCCCTGGGCTGTTCTTGACCTCCTAGCACCTCACCCTGAGAGTTAGGGAGGAAATACAGTGTTTTCTGTATTTATACTCCTGCCCGCCCCCACAAGCATGGTTGCTGATCCCTGCGGTCGTCCTTTGGAATGGTTACTTCCTTGTCCCCTGGACTAGCAGGTTCAGAAGTTTTTAAGTTGTGGGGATTTTGCTGCGATTGGCAGTGCTCTTTCAACCTACTTGGGGAATTATTTTTTGAGAGAACAATATCAGTGAAAGCCATAATTTCTATTCAATGTCTTCCTGAGCATCTCCCAAGGCTTGCCCAGAACTTTTTTTTTTTTTTTTTTTAAAGAAACAGACACTAGACACTAGAAGCCAAGGGCTGTATCCCAGGGCTGCTGCCCCAGTACACTGTAGACATGGGTGCTTGGCCCATTTGCTTTCCTGCAAACTCATTATCCTGTTAGCCCACTATCATTCAGTACAGCACAGGGAATCAGCCTGATACTGATTCCCTGTGCCACAGGAGCAGCAGATTCCTCCCTCCCTCCCTCCCAAATGGGAAAAGGAGCCAGTACAGTTCACAAGGGTCATTGCATTTAAGTAACCAGATTTGACTGAGCACAACGCGATGATTGATCCAAGTACTGTTTTTCCTTTCTGTCACAAGGCAAAAAGTATGTAAGGAGGACACGTCAATCTATCGTATTTTTCAGAGACAATGAAGAAAGGCAAATTAAACACCTTCCCCAACATTTCTTCTAATGCAGAAGCCCCTGGATACCTAGGGGGGGCTGGGTGTGTTTTTGAATAACAAGGAATACGGTACATGCTTATGCTGTGCTTTACCTATTCGATCTTTAAATACAAATAGTGGGTCAAACAAAGGGGGTTGGAGGGGCCTCTAAAAAGGCCTCATGGGCAGTGCTAGCACTGGGCCAGGGTGAGATTCCCCAGAGTCCACTGGGTCACAGCAGGCCCCTCAGTCCATGTCTCCACTGCTCAGGGGGGCTATATGGGAAGACAGCTGAGCTCCAGACCCCAGGCCTCCTGCCTGGTGGAGTCAGGGGAGAAGAGGCCCCAGGCCCCTGAAATTTCAGGTTACCATGGCAACGAGGCCTGTAATGGCACAGTAGTAACCATCCTCCCCAGCACATCTGGACTCTGAGGTCGCTGCGTCAAGTCAATGCCCACAGCAAAGGGGGATCCTGGAGGAACACTGCCACTCCTGTCCCTCCACCATTACCGTTTCCCATGACACACAAAAGGCAAATAAAATCCCTCATGTTTGAAAGAAACTACAGGCAGTTTGGGTGCAATTTGAGGGCAACTCTTGGGTTCTGGTTTCCTCTTGAGAGACTGTTCACCTCTTGTAAATCGTTGGCTGCCTTGACGTTGGTGACATTTCATGTTTTTGTTAAGCTGCTTTTACATCAGTTTTGATTTTTGTTTCTTTATAATTTTATTATCATTTTAAGAAAGTGTTTCCCTCCCCTCCTCCCTCTCCCACTATCCTTGACCAAAGGACTGTTTGCTACTATGTTTTCTCAGTTGTAAGGAAGAGAGTTTCCTTCCAGGTGTGTCCCAAGTTTGGTAGGACTTCCACGTGTTGGGGTAGGGAGTCTGGGTCCTTGGGGTAAAAAGGAGGGAGGTGTGGGAAAGCACCTTGGCGGTGGGAATATCCAGGGACGGGAGAGTACATTTGAGATCACGGCAGTGGCTCAACCTGTGGTTCATTTAAGTCATAATTTTAAAAAGCTAGCAAGCGACCAGAAAGTCACCAGGCCAAGTCACACTGTACCTTTTCCTTCCTCTGTCTCCAACCTCTTTCCAGGTCCTTCATACACCCCCGTTCGGCGTAGTACCCCGCGAGCTCAAGATGTGTGGCAGTTTTCGGATGGAAGCTCAAGAGCCCTTAAGTTCTGAGAAACTTTGAAGCCCCCAGGGGCGGGGTGGACATGCGCCGCCCAGCCGACGTCAGCGTGCTCCGTCATCCTGCTAGATTGTGATGTTTTCTGACAGTAGCCTCCAAGAAGACAAGAGTCCTGCCGAGTCCTCCCAGCCTGGGCCTGCAGTGCCATTTTATTTATATTTTTTAATAAAACGTAAAAACAAACAAAAAAAACCAGACCCACATTGGAACAGTGAATCCGTCCCATCCAGAGGGCCCTCGGACTGCCGCAGTCAGGGCGATGTCCAACCCTTTTGAAACCAGCCAACCTAATTACCCGTATTGTGGAGATGAGCATGAGCCCCTAACCCCTCGTTTCTATACATTCTATGTTGTCTTTTAAAAAGTGTGCTTAACATTGACATAATAAATGTTGGAGCTTTAGGCAGTGTGTGCTTGTTTTTTTAATTTTTAATGCTCGTAAGACAATGTGGCTGCTTCAGGCTTTAAGTCTGTGTACCTGTTTCTTTCAGAAGCTCATAGGGCAGGCCGAAGGATCAGACTCAAATGCTGGGCAGGAGATGTAGAAGAGGAAGTAGGCTTTTCAGATGGCATACATTTTCAA